CTAAATAGCCTGCATTGGGTTCAAACTTGGGCTCTTCCTGCCTCAACATTTCAAAATGATGGGATTGTAGGTATGTGCCACCATGCATGGCTGAGGACAATTTATTAAAATAGTGTATTTGTCTGGCATATTTGAGACCCAGATTCAGTATTGAGGCAAACAAGTTTGTCTTCAGTGTAGCAAACAAATTTATTCTTTGTGCTGATACATAGAAATAGTACATATTTATAGGATGTAAACATATTTATAAATTTCACTTTCATGAGATCCATGTTTTATTTATAAAAGTATTTAAGTGGTTAGAATTTTGGGTTCTATCATCTTTAGCCAGAAATAGGTACCCAGAATAGGAAAATTAAGGGCTATGTTCATAGGAACAGTGCAGGGCTATGTCGAATCTTTGTTTTTTGGGGTTTTTTGTGGCGGAACCAGGGATTGATCTCAGGCCCTTGCACTTGTCAGGGAAGCGCTTATTCCACCAAGCCATCACCCCGGCCTCGAATCTTTATAAATCTTTTGAAATGATGGTAAAGACAAAATTCAATGTATTTGATGGAAGTGGCAAAAGGCCAAAATTTTTCTTTACTAGGTTAAATTTGCAGGTTCTACTATAACTCATAGACAAATCATATAAACTGAAGTTGAGATCACTTCTTGTCTTTCTGTTTTGATTTATATGCTGGTGGAGATATGATGGGATTATTATATAAAGCCAAGAGCAAGCCTATCAATGCCTGGGATGTGCCGATCTTATGTAAGGAAAGAAGTCCATTTCAGTGTGCTCTCCCCCCTCCGACCACCCCTACAGCCATGCCCTGGGGGCCGGGATTGATCGCTATCCCCACAAAGTGACAGCCACCATGGGCAAGAAGAAAATCGCCAAGAGGTGGAAGATCAAGTCCTTTGTGAAGGTTTATAACTACAACCACCTCACGCCCACAAGGTACTCTGTGGACATCCCCTTGGACAAGATGGTGGTCAACAAGGACGTCTTCAGAGACCCAGCCCTCAAGCGCAAGGCCCAGAAGGAGGCAAAGGTTAAGTTCGAGGCGAGATACAAGACAGGCAAGAACAAGTGACTCTTCTAGAATTCCGGTTTTAGGTGTTTTTTGTTTCTATCATTAAAAATTTTTAAAAAGGAAGAAGAAAATAGCTCCCAAACAGAAGCTAATTTCCATAATTCAGCACATATACATGCTGGTCATCACCTTTGTGATTGGTTTGTCTTAAGGCTTACAGCAATATTCAGGGTATCAGTCAATGTCTAAGTCTATGAAATACAAATTAAAGAATACTTTTTCTCAATTCTATGTTACACAGGTCAGTAAAAATATATCTGAACTACATCTGCTGGCTTATAGATTCATTAGTTCATCTTAATTTAACCTTTGTCTTTAGAATCAACAACCGTTTTCTTTGACTTTCCTACTTCCCCATGAGCAGGCACTATTAATATCTTCATTTCATGTATGAAGACACTGAGACACCAAGAAGTTAGGAAACATCTTCATTATTACACAGCCAACAAAAAGCTGCAGCAGCTCTTGCTCTTAAGATTCAGCCTGCATGGCCTGGAGGAGTGCGGGTGCACACAGAGCCCTCTCTGTTAGCGTGTGAGCCAAGCTGCCCTAATAGCCAAGCCACCCTAACAGCCGTGCATCTGATAACAGTTGTTTATTTTAAACTAATCCGTCAGTATTTAGGTTTAATTGCAGTGTTGATACTTTGTGATAAGTAAGTGGCTTTTGGGTTGCAGTTTGGAGATTCCATCTCTAAGATTTGTCATCACTGGCCTAGTGTAACTTCTTGAAAGTTAGTGCTGCTACTGGTTTTTTTGAGAGAGGATCTCACTATATAATATATATAATAACTATATAATATAGTTCAGGCCAGCCTTAAATTCATTACACAAGCCAAGCTGACCTCAAATTCATAATGACTCTACTGCCTTACCCTTCCAAACCTACCAAGTGCTGGGATTACAGGCATATGCCACCAGGCCCAGGCTTCTCTTTTTTGTAATTCAATTCTGTCTGTCTGTCTGTCTGTCTGTCTGTCTGTCTATCTGTCTGTTTGTTTCTTTCTTTCTTTCTTTCCTTTCTCTCTCTCTCTCTCTCTCTCTCTCTCTCTCTCTCTCTCTCTCTCTCTCTCTCTCGCAGGCTTCCTCTTGGAATTTGTTGTGTCTTGGTGTATTTTTAAGGGGCAGCCAGTTACACCAGTCTTCACATGCTAATAGGTAAGATGCTGGGCACAGACACTGCTTCCTCCTCTTGCCTACTTTTCCACTCTTTTATGACTTTGTTTCCTTATCTCTAAAGCCAGGAATAAGTGTCACCACTACTTACAAGGGCTGGGAGAATAAAATGAATTTTGATGTGTCGACCAATTAGAACTTTGTCATGAAACAGTGAGTACTGTTGTGTTCAGGTTTCAAAGAAACCTGTGGTTCCTTTTTGGCAGAGTTGGTTTATAGCACAAAGCAACACAAAAATTTTAAGGCAACACTTGAGTTTGTGAATAAATGCCTTCCTGGGCAGAGTCACTGGGATCTCAGCTGGGATCCTCACAGGTGACAACTTGCAGGAGTGGTTCTTGTCACATCCTTTCTCATCACCTATAGGTGAAAAACACAAAGAGGAACAAGGATCCCATTATTTGTCTATGATTATCACACTCTGATATTGAATAATTAGACAAAAATATTCATATTACACAGATCAAATAATAATCTAGTAAATAAAATCTAGTCTTCCAAATCATAATTTTTGTATGAAACCCAAACTTCTTTTTCTAACTGTACGTACAGATGACACTCACCTCAAGGGTCCTAACTCACACTCCGCTGTGGTGTCGCTCCCTGTTGGGCAGGATGTCTAGTGTCCTGGGCAGTCCTCAAAGGTGCCTTTATGGTTGATGAGCAGCTGCTCTCACGTTTCCTACTCCATTTGCTGCTCTGAAGGCACGTGAAACAACGTTCCTGTCTCCCTATCCTTCCTAAAAGGGATAAGGCCAGTCTATGCCAGCACTGTCACTTTCTAGTAACCCCCAAAATGAAAATTCTTGAGGTTCAACAGTAGAGATGGATACATTTATGGTCAAAGCAGAATAAGCAAGAAGTACCGCTATCCTTAGAGAAGCGTCTGCTTGCGGGGTGGGATAGGAAGAGGAGGCTCTGTGTTCCCTGGAGATTGTCAAAAACTACGAGCCTTGGAATTGCCTCATGACTTCTGCTGTCTATATTCTGCTTTTCTCCGTTTTTCTCTCTGCAATTTGAATACTGAAATCATTTAAACCTAGTGAGAAAAAACTGTAAAGACCCAAGAATACATACATAGATGGTTCCTGTCTTTCTGTTTACTTTAGAACTATTCCGATACCCCAGTGTTAGATCCATTACTTATTTTTTAAAAATTATTTCATATTCTAGTTAGTCCCAAATAGCAAATGATGATGACATGGAAAAAAGTTTTCTTTTTCTTAATTCCAACCTGCTTTTAATTTTTCTTAATTTTTAAAATTCTTTGTATGTAGTCTTTGTGGCGTTTATAGTTCATGGGAAGAATGCTTTCAAGCTGTCTTTTCCTTAGGCAAGATAAATGTGTTAAGTGATGCTATTTTTCACAAAAACATCAATTTCCTTTTCCAAATTACTTTTGATGTTCTCGTTTGAGCTGTAGGCAGCTTCTGTGTATTGAGGTATACCTCAATTTACAAATAGAGGTATTGCCAAAGATTCTGCTAAAATGTTTCAAATTGAATCCTGCTGCTCCACTGACTGAGTTCTAGAATCAGAATTGAATTTCCCTAGGAGCAGAGGGAAATCCCATAATTATCGTCATCTAAACTTTTGTTGGAGAAAGGTAAACATCAAGACTAGCTTCATTTTGTTGTATAGTAATGTTTCCTGGGATTATTAGTCTCAGTGGTGGTTTATTTTGGAGTTTTACAATAAAAGCAGGCTGACTAAAATTGCTTCCTCACTGTTTGGCATAGTAGAAAGGTCCAGCTACCTAAGTTCTTTTTGGTTCATAAGCAGCTCCAGGGGCTGGTTTCAGAGATGCCATTGAGCCATGTATGACGCTTCCATGGACTAAGTCTTATTTATTTATTTATTTATTTATTTATTTATTGCCTGGGATCTAACTCGGGACCTTGTGCTTGCCAGGCAGCTATTTATGCCTCTGAACCAGCTCCCTGGCTACCAAGCCTTTTTAAAAAGTTGCTATGAAT